CGCATCAATATATCTGATATAGAAATTGTTTTATTGCTTAATCATACAATCTAAGATACTGTTAGATAAATAGTGCTTTTAGGATTACTAATAAAAACACTGTGTTGGAGCAGAATACTTCTTCACAGCTGTGTGTTAAAAGAGTTTTGTGGACTTTAAAACCGATATTTAAGATTAAGGTTTAAGTTTCTTAACCTGAGGGCGTATAGAGGTAGAAAATATTTTGCGAAGTACACTTCATCAATGATTGGTTTGTTTATTCGACTGGCATCTTTGGGGCTTCTCTGTTTATTACATAACATTCTTAATCCCGCAACAAAACAAATCATCACAGTAATAAAATGTTGAAGAATATACATGCGTAATAAATCAGTTGTGTATTTCCCACACAGCTTTCTCTAGAAAGTAGAAGAAAGCTCTGAACATTTGATTTGCACCTTCGTTTTCGAAGCATGACTTATTTTTTATATGCTTCACTTTCATCGTTTATCTTATTACTTCATAAATAACTTTGAATTACTTCAATAATATACCGAAATTTTAAAACGTAAGTTTGTATTGTAACATAGATTTACGTCTATTTCCCCAAACTAAGATTTATGGATTAGAAAAGTCAACTACCCTGTACATGTGTACTTGTATCATCTATCCCAGAATGTGCCAAACTTGTTATGTTCACGTATAGAACGAACACAATAAAATAGTATACCTTCGTAAACAAAATAAGTTATAATTAACAAATGCCTTTGCTATTAAAAATAATTAAGTAATCATACGGCATGATTTTGATTACCAAATATTTTCTATAAATTTATAGCTATAGCTATAATCAATGTAAATATATTATATATTGTTGATAGATATACAAATATATTTGAAATTCGTTCTTATGTATGTTTAATACCTTTTATTGCGGGTGATTAGCAGAACTTTTTGGCTGAAGATCAATGGTTTTTGCCCATTGCTGCCAACAACAAAAACGGAATCGGGTTCTGTTATTTGAGGCTGTTGTTACGTGATAAGAGTAACAGTCACATCCCACTAGCCGATCTGACAAAAGTATCTCAAGAGTTGGCGGTGGGTGTTATTGATTACCTGGCTTCCTTCTAGTCTATTAGTTTAAAATTGAGGGCTGTTAGCGCAGATAGCCCTCGTGTACCTCTGCAC